GAAGGGATTCTGCAGCAGAGCACAGAACCTCAGGATACAACAGGCTTGGCAGTGGCGTGTTTAGAGCTGGGGCAAACTCTTTCGAGCAGACAGTAAACTGTTTTGCATCCTCAGTGCCAATAATTTCAGCAAGGCAGAGAGATTTGGCCCGAGTTCAGGTTGCAGAGGAAAGGACAACATGTTCTTAGAGTGCAGGAAGCTGTCAGTCAGCTGCTTTGCTGTGATGTGCTGGAAATGATTGCCTTCTCCTGACTGGTCATTGTTTGCCTTACTGCATGCCTGGGGACCTTCACTTTATGTTCCCATGCAGGGGTAAGTCAGTATTACTGGACCAACAGCACGGAAAAGACTGTCACACCCAGGTAAGGCTGTCTTTCAGGAAGGGAGATTGACTTGCCTGGTACTTTACATTTTCCCCCCAGTATTAATACTTGTTCACATCTCAGTTATCTCTTATTTGAGTTGTTTATGATAAGCACTCAGTCTCCGCCTGAGTGAAGTTTCTGTTGACTGTAGTAGCATTAACCTGAATGAAAACTGCAATGTTTGTCCTTCAGTTTCCTTTGAACTGCAATTACACCTTGCCTCTTGCTAGTGTCCTCATTAATGCAGGCTGCAAACACAAAGACTTCTTATTATAGCTTCCAGATTAAGAGCATGAACTTGTGTGCTGTGTTGTAAAATGCTTTCCTGTCTTTTTGAGTTTCTTCTGGTAATGGATCAAACGTGTAGGACTCCAAATCTCTTGAAAATGGATAAATAACACAAAAATTGTAGTGCATCTGCCATCAGAGTAGCATACCTCCTGTGGTAGCTGTAGCACTGCATAGTAGTACTGCTGTAGGATCTAGTAGTACTGCTGTAGTGTGCCATCAGTTCTGTGCAGTCAAAAGGGGAAAAAATCAGCTTTGTACCAATGAAGTTTTTAGAAACATGAAGAGGAAGGGGAAAAGTATGTTAAATAAAGAGAAGTATTTCCAAATAGTCACTATTAACTTGTAAATTCAGATAGTGGCAAACCAAATAGTCCTGAACCATGTGTAGGAATGTTGTATCTGCAAAGGGAGGGCGGGGAATATGTGCCTGCATTCTGCTTTATCCCTCTCTTGCTGCTGAGAGCCTCGGGAAGATTAAAATGGTTGTTCTTTGGGTGGCACAGGTCTCACTGCAGCTGCAGTGGACTACATCAGTGGTCCAGTGCTAAGAGGAATAAGAAGTAGGGGGCTGGGGTAGCTCGTGGAGGTAGAAACCTTTAGAAGGATGTGTGAGGTTAGTTCCCAGTGTGGCTTTGTTCTGGCACCCAGCTCATGCTGCTGACAGAGGGAGAGTTGGGATCTGAGAAGTCTGTAGGTAACCATTAACTTCAGCCAGAGTTTTGTTGCAGGGCTTCCCCCTTATTTAAATGGTTTGTGTTTTTATAAAAAATATAATAAATATGTATAAATAAATATAATATAATAAAATACCTGAGTGCTGGCCAAAGGGTCTCTTCATGTGAGCCTCCAGCTCGCAGGTTGTCAGAGCAGAACAGACTGCTTCTTTGGCATGGATCACAGTGACTCCTTAGACTTGGAGGCCTCTGGATCCTGAAAGGCCCAGTTTTTCGGAGCAGATAGAGCCAACTGTGCACCAGATGTGTTCTAATCAGTAGTGCAACCCAGCATTCATCGGTGTAACAAGATGAGTGGCCTAGCCCTGTCACTGCTCTGCCCGACACCTGAACTCTGCTGTCAGTGCAGTGAGCTGTACGGTGTCTCCCACCTTCTGCAGCAAGAAAGAAGCATGTCTGGTTAGAATGAAGTCCTTAAAGTGTTGGTAACAAAAAGCTCTCTCTTCAGCTGCCCGTAATGCTGGAATGTCGGAAGAGGGGAAGGAAGCCGCTATGAGCTGTCTGGTTTGAAATGTGTCTCAAAGCTGATCGTTTTGGAATGAGATTTGTTTGTGTATGTGACAGTAGGTTTCTGAGAAGAGGTGGAGAAACTCGTCTGATCAGTTTGGTTACTGCCATTTTCCTGCTCTGCTGCCATAGGGTGGTTGTGAGGGTTGTACTGTTGCAAACGTGCTTAAGTGATACGCAACCACCCAAAACCCACAGCCATCTTTTTTATTATTATTATTAAAAACAGTGGCAAATGAAACATCTTCCCCTCCCCCCCCTTTAATTTGTCTTTTATTAATACATTCTGTGTTTATTTATCTGTGCTCCATAATACCGAATCCTTAACTGTGCACTCATGTAACTTTTAGATTATTTTTTTTTTGCAGTAGGTGACTGCAGTTCTGTGGACAGTTGCTGCTTATGTCTGTGCTCTTAGGAACACACTGCCCCCAGAACGCAGGAGGCCTGGCAAAGCACGCTTTGTCCCATGGCCTGAAATCTTGAAAATGGCTGTAACCATAGTGAATGTTACTCTAAGCAGTCTTTCAGAAAATTTCTTAAGAGATCACAGTCTGTGGGCAAATCAGAAACCTGAGGCTTTGACTTACCTGTGCCTTTTTAACTGCGTTCTGGTTGTGTTTGCTGCACGCAGACCCTTACTGAATGCGGGCACTGGTGTTGTAGGCAGGAGTGCCATCATCAGAATCAATCTGTATGTGCCTTTGCGTTGGATGCAGTAAGTAAGGGGATTAAGTTAAACTCCTGCAGTTAATTCTGGCAGGTCATGCCCTGCCTACCACAAAAGGACTTAAAAAGGAAGGAAGGTCCACGTCAGTAGCATTCCTGCTTTCCCGAAGCCTTTCAGAAAGTTGTTCCCCTTCACAATGTTGCTGCCTGTACCTTTTACCATAAGAGCTTGTGACACTGGCTCGTAGGCCAGAAAAAAGAACAAGATTTTGATTCCAGCTCTCCTATGACCACTGTTGCGTTATTAAGGGTATTTCCATCATTTGGGCACTCATCTAAGCATCCCTGGTGGTAATGGCACCATTCTTAGCGGAACTGATCCCTGAAATCTCAGTTGCAGCATTCAGCATCTTCTACAGTATAGTCATGAAAGTCTTCATAGAGCAGTTTCTCAATTACTGTATTTCTTTCTGTGGGATTTAGCTATTGCTTTTTAAACTCTTACTACCCTGTAAGTGAAAAAGCCAAGCAGACAGCTTCCTTGTAGCAGGAGAGCAGAAGTGAACATGTGCATGAACCTAGGCTACTAGAGTAGCTCTGTTACCTTGATCTTTCTGTAAAGGCAGGGCTGGTAATACCATAAAGTCCTGTCAGTTAAATCCCATCACATCTGCTTCTCTGAACATAAACCAGAGGCTGTGGGAACTTGCCCCAGAGATGGGAATTACAGACAGTGATAGCCCCGTGGAATGGAAAGGCCAAGGAAGACACAAAGGGGATAAGTGATGAGAGCAGTTCAGCTGCTCTTTCCCCAGAAATGTGATCCCTCTCTTGCAAGTTAGGTGTACGCTGTTGAAAAAAGTTCAGAGAGAACTTCTGCTTCCTTTTGCTTCAAGTGTAAAAGACCACGGATTCATCCTCAGCCCTATTTGTGTGTGGGATAAAAGAGCCAGGACATGACCAAGGAGATCCAGAAGCCACCAGATAAGAATGTAGTGAAAGCATACTGCCTGCTGTCTTAGTGCAGACAGCTGCTTTCCTAAACTCACCTCCCAGAGGTGTTCCTATCAGAACAAATGGTATATTTTCACCTGTAACCTGCTCTCAGGAGTGTTTCACATGCATTTTAATTGTATACAAAAATATTGGGGGATTGAAGTCTGAAGAAGGCTTGTGCAGTTTTTGTGGGGGAGGCCATTTGTTTTTGGCTTGTTTGAATTTGTTGTTGTTGTTTATTTTTTCATTTGCTTCTAAAGTTTAGCTGTAGACTTGCCAGCAATGCAACGGGATACAATAACCTTTAAACCATTTGATTAGCAGCTTCTCTGGTGTATCTGGAGCACGAGTCTTGAGCTCTTTTCACTTTTACCGTCCAAGTTGCCAAGTATTTGAAATGCTAGAGCTCAGGCATGTAGAAAATTCATCACCACTTGTCGGTTAACAAGAGGCTTGTCATCACGGGCTTAGCAACTCTGAGAGGCTGCGGGTTAGTTTGACCAAGCAAGGAAGAAAGGCTATATGTGGTGTTTCAACAGTATCTCTATTCACCAACCGATCAGTGGTACTTGTCCTGTTCTTAGCAAACTGCTGCCCTGTGATGATCAGCTCTATGTACCGATCGTCAAGTTGTATCCTGGGGTCCCCTCATGCTCCTGTGAGGTATGTGGGTATGAGCGAGAGCCTGATGTGCCAATGCAGAACAAACCCACAGCTTGCTGCATGTGCACAGATGGGCGAGGATGGGATTATTCAAGGTCAAGTTGTCCTGTCTGTGCTAACACAGTGGGAGATTAACGAAGGAAGGATTTTGCTGTTAAAAATGACACACTACACTTCCTCCATGTGAATCAAGGCAGCGTACGCTGCAGTTGGAAATGTAGCATCAGTCCAGCAGGATGTTCTCAAGCTGATGCTAGCTGGTTTGGGCGAGCTGAGCACGTAGCAAAGGTACCAGAACACAGGCACCAGCTGCTTGCCTACAGCCCTCAGCAGGCTCATACAGCCTGTGCTGAGATGTGTTCCATCTCTGCTGTTGCTCCGCAGTGCATAGTGCAGTTTGCTCTTCTCATTGCAGTGTAAGCTGCCTGAGCAGACAGACTCAAGGCAGCATGCTCCTGCTTTATCAGACTTACAGGAAGGCCCAGTGGTATTCAGAGCCAACCCTGGGCTTCCAGCCCACTGGTCCTCTGCTGCCAGGGTTCTGAAATGCCTTCCCAGATGTGAGCAGTGACATGGCACAAAAGGAAATCCTGGTGGAAATTACTGCTCCCTTTCATACCTCTCAGAGAGTGAAATCACGCTCTGCTCAGTTTGTGAAGGCAAAATAGTTGATACTTCTTGATTAACAGAAGAACCAGGATGGAGAAGACATTTATTTTTCTTTACGCCAGTTTTCCTCTGCTTGCTGTGAACCCTCTGGCTGTGTCTTGAACAGGCGCAGAGTCCGTGGCTCCCTCACTGTGGCATGGTGGATGTCCATTTCACAGGCATGGCTGACTGCTTCCGGCAAACCGTGAAGAACAAAGGTGTGCTCGGGCTTTGGAGCGGCCTCACACCCAGCCTGCTCAAGGTGAGCTTTGGTTTTCAGCGCTGAACTAAGGCACGCTCTCGCACAACTGAAGTCATAAAGCATGTGGCAACCCTCCATACTTATTAGTGGCTTATAGATGACAAAGGCAGTCACAGCGCAGGTATAACCTCAGGCAGGCTATAAGCCAGCCTTGGATCACAGGTTTGGTTGTATTTCTGTAGGTGCGAGTTCAGATTCTTTATGTGACTTCTTTCAAGTTCATTTGAATGCCCTTAGGAAAGGGAGGTTTCTAACACACAAGCCAGAGTATGGATGGGGGACAGCTAGTGATGTGCTTAAAGCAGCTAACCGAGTTCTGCTTTTCATCTGAGCTCCAGTAATTTGACAGACTGTACCTAGCTATAACAAAAATAGCTCTTGCATTAACCACTCCCACAGAAGTCAAAAGCTGCATTTTGCAGTGAGCTAGTAGTGCATGCACACCAGTTATGCAGCCCTTACAGAGATGAAAACGTGAAATAAAACACGATAGCTTAAACATAAGGTTAGTTAGATAGATACATTGTACAGTGCTGCACTGAGGATTACCTGTACAGGATACTACTGGTCAGCTGATGAGTGGTAACTGAGCATAACTAGTAGTGGTGGCTGGGCTATGGCTGGCCCTGCCTTGGCTGGTATAAGGCCATGTAGCACCAGGGCTGCTCATTTTGCACAGGGAAAAAGAAGATTGTTCAGTCATTCTGCTTTATGAAGAATTAAGTCCATGTTTCCTATTAGGATTTGCTGAGGTTGCTTAGGATTTGCTGAGATATTTTGGAAGTTGTGATGACTTACAGTCTAGCACAGACCTTGTTCCTCATGGTGTTATAGAATTAGCTGTGCGCAAGTAGCAAACTCCTCAGCATGATGCAGGTGCAAACCAAGTCTGAGGAGAGTCTAACTTCACGTAAATGAGCACAGTTTTGTTAGCAGATCACATCAAACCTGAAATTCTAGAAGTTTTCCTTTATGAAAGCATTTAAGAATACTATAACACACTGCTTTATTTTTTTTTTAATCAGATTGTTCCATACTTTGGTGTTATGTTTAGCACCTTTGAATTCTGCAAGCGGGTCTGTCTGTACAGAAATGGTTATATTGAATCTCCTTTGAGTTACAAGCTGACTCCTGGGGTGGATCAGAGTTTGCTGCCTCAAGAACTGAGAGAATTAAAGCGCCTCCGAAGAGAAAACTTCGAGCCAAGGAAATCAGCTCTTGAAAACTGACAGGAGAGCATCCATTGGAGAAGCCTTTTCTTCAGAAACTTTGCAAGAAAGACATGCTGAACTGCAGGTACCAGCATCTCAGCAAGGTGCATGGCTGTAGTGCTGAGACTACAGGATGCAGGGGATGAATAAACCTCTTATCTCATTTGCTGAATGGATGCACACAATAAAAGTAATAAGCATACACCAAGGAGGAGAGATGCAACTCGTCTGAACATACGGTATGCTATTGCAGCTTGAACTGACGCTATTCTAGGTGCTTCTCAGTGCTGGATAGCCACTTTAAGATAAACCACTTGGAGAGAATGAAAACTGAGACAAGTACAGATTGCATCTTCAAAACATTAAGAAAGTTCAGATTGGATTTTTTTAAAGTACCCTGTGATAAGAAGTCATCAAAAAATGGTAAGCAGACTAGATAGACAAATGCAAGCAATTCTACTGAAATCTCCTCTTTAGTGATAACGGGTGGATGTGGCATTCTGCAGATGCAGAATTATCCTCAGCTCATTCACACTCCAGAATCCACTCTTCCATTTTTGAGACTTCCTTAAGAATAATGATTTTGTACATGTCTTTGGCACAGCAGTAAAAATAAGCTGCTGCAATTGTGTTTTTGCTAATAGACTGTAACACACTGGAATGACAATCTTTTAAACGTAGGTGCTTACTGGGAATCTTTTTCCCTTTCTCCTGTGTACGTGAGTTATTTCAGGCTTAGGAAAAAAGTTTTCCTGAAAATTTCTAACTAAAATATCTTCTGAAAAATGCAGACCTTAAGTGTGTAAGCTATTTCAGAGCCACGAGCCTTACGATGTTTCTCAGTATTCTCAAAGTTCTATTTTTATGCTAAACTACTTCTCAGTCCTTGTGCACAGACCCTTGTGCTGCTCAGAACTTGCCTGCAGCAGAGCACCATGCACACGTCCTCTCATTTTCCCTCTTGAACTTCTGCAGTCCGGGATCCGCAGCACTTCTTTAGGTTGGAAGCTCAGCACAACCACCAGGTTCTCACTGGTGCCACTGCCCTCTCACCAGGCTCTTTCAAGCAATGTAATACCATTATGTGAGATAACTTTAACACCTGCTTTGCCCCTGGCTCTGATTGTTGACGTACCCCACAGCTGAGGTCTTGTGGTATCTCCAGCAATGGACTCGCTGTGTACTGCTGTGATGGTTGGTTTTCTTCTCAGAGAGAAGCACGGGTGTTGATAGCAAAACTCAGTATGGTAGGGAGCAGTCCTTGTGGCTTGTGAGCAAGATGGAGGCTGTAAGTATTCCTGGCTCTCATCAGTCTGCCTAGTGAAGGTGTTCCTCTGTGCCTCAGTTTCCCCATCTGCAGTGTCATAACAATACTGATGTTTATTTGATGTGTGTGAGTAAGGAAACGTGACTTGTGAGCAAGTTGGGGAAGCACTGATTTCTGAACAATGCTCTTATCTGTTCAAAGCATAGTACTCGGATTTTTTGGTGTGTTTTTTTTTTAACTGATGTTGTATTTCTAAATAGATGTTAAAGATTGAATGATGCATATAAATATTCGCTCACCTCTTTAAACCTCTTAAGAGTCAAGCGAGTCAACAAGGTACCTCTTGTTTGTGATATGCCACTGACACCTCTGTGTTCATTAACTTTGTATCAGCCAAGCCTCTCCATGTGTGATTGCATCTTCTTAGAAGGAAGAGCTGGGGAGCCACAGGCTCCTGAGTCTGAACTCATGGAGCAGGTCCTCCTGGAAGAGATGTTAAGGCACTCGGAAGGTGAGGTTGGTCTCTCCTATGAAGAAAGTCTGAGGGAGCTGGGCTTGTTCAGCATGGAGAAGAGACGGCTCTGGGGAGACCTCATTGCAGCCTTACAGTGCTTGAGAGGAGCTGACAGTGATAGGACGAAGGGCTTTAACCTAAAGGAGGGGAAATTGTGGCCGGATGTCAGAAATAACTTTCTGCAGGCCCTGGCACTGCTGCCCAGAGCTGTGTGCACCCAGCCTGCAGTGGGATGGGTGGGCTGGGCCCTGGGCAGCCTGAGCAGGGGGGCAGCCAGCCTATGGCAGGGGCTGGAGGAGCTGTAAGGTGCTGTGATTCTGTGAGAAACCCCTCCGCAAGGTAACAAAACTATTTCACGGAGCACTCAACCAACCTGCTTCCACTGCACGTTACGTGGTGCGTGGCAACGGGGACCGAGGTCACGGAGCGGCCGTGGGCGCTGTGCGGCGGCGGCGTGCGCGTGTCTGCTTGCCGGCCCGCCGCCGTGCCCGAGGCCGAGTGACGCGGAGCAGCGCCGCGGCCGTTGACGCGGCGGGAGCTCACGGAGGGCCGCTTTCAGCCCGCGGCCGTCGCCGTCGGGCCCGGCCCGTCTCCCGCCCCCCTGCGCCGCTCGGCGGCCCGAAGCCCCGCCTCGCTGCGGCGGCCCCGCCCCCTCCCGCAGCCAATGGGCGGGCGGAACGCGGCGGCGCGTTGCCGTGGCGCGCCCCCGCCCACGTGTCCGCCGCCGCCCCTATATAAGGCGGCCATTTCGGCCCCGCGCCCGCCTCGCTGCCGCAGCGCCGCCTCCCCTCTCCTTCCGCCCGGCCTCGCCTCGCCGCCTCCCGCCATGGCCGACGCGGCCGTGTCCTTCCTCAAGGATTTCCTCGCCGGGGGGGTGGCGGCCGCCATCTCTAAGACCGCCGTCGCCCCCATCGAGCGGGTGAAGCTGCTGCTGCAGGTGAGCGGCGGGACGGGGGCGGCGGGCGTTCCAAGGTCGCCGCAAGGAGAGGGGGGCGGTGGGGGGGCGGACGGGCGCGCGGAGCGGCGCTGACGGCGCTGCGGGCCTCGCAGGTGCAGCACGCGAGCAAGCAGATCGCCGCCGACAAGCAGTACAAGGGCATCATCGACTGCGTGGTGCGCATCCCGCGCGAGCAGGGCGTCCTCTCCTTCTGGCGCGGCAACCTGGCCAACGTGATCCGGTACTTCCCCACCCAAGCGCTCAACTTCGCCTTCAAGGACAAGTACAAGCAGATCTTCCTGGGCGGCGTGGACAAACGCACCCAGTTCTGGCGGTACTTCGCCGGGAACCTGGCGTCCGGCGGCGCTGCCGGCGCTACCTCGCTCTGCTTCGTGTACCCCCTCGACTTCGCCAGAACCCGCCTGGCAGCCGACGTGGGCAAAGCCGGGGCCGACCGCGAGTTCAGCGGCCTCGGTGACTGCCTGGTGAAAATCTTCCGCTCGGATGGCCTCAGGGGTCTGTACCAGGGCTTCAACGTGTCTGTCCAGGGCATCATCATCTACAGAGCCGCCTACTTCGGCATCTACGACACCGCGAAGGGTAGGTGGGGTGGCACGGCGCTCCCGTGGAGGTGCCGGCCCGCATCCTGCACTGTGCGTGCTGCCGGCTCGCCCGCTGCTCTCACACAGAACCTCTCTCCTGCAGGAATGCTTCCTGACCCAAAGAACACCCACATCGTGGTCAGCTGGATGATTGCTCAGACGGTCACTGCGGTCGCCGGTTTGACCTCCTATCCCTTTGATACAGTTCGGCGCCGCATGATGATGCAGTCCGGCCGTAAAGGAAGTAAGTCGCTCCTTCCCTCCGTGTGTTAGGAGCTGGTGGGCATCCCTGAATCAAGATGTGGCAGCAGTTCTGAGCTGGGGGCAGGAGTGTGCTGCCTTTCATCAGGGCCTTTAAATGCCGCCTTCTGCTTCTGCAGTCCCCTCGAATCCTGCAGCTCACAGAGATGTCAGGTAGGGGGCAAACAGATTGGAGCCTGTGGCATCCCTGTAAGGGGAACATGCAAGTTGGGTTTGTTCAGTAGGTAGGAATGGCAGAACTTGCCCGAGGGTGCAAGCAAACTCATGTCTCTGGGCTAAGAAGGGATGTCCCTCAGTGCAGGCACAGCCTGGCTGACTGTGCAATAGCTTTTGGGTCTGGAAGTGTTGGTGTCTAGCAAATATTAGCTGCTTTCTGCTCAAACTGGTCCATCCAGCCTCTCCTGAGGGTAACACAGACCTTGTGGATGAGACCACAGGGTAATCTCATCCTCTAAAAGTAAGCCAAGAAATGGGTGCTTGAGGTTGTAAAACTGCCAGATATGTTAGGTTGGTTCTGATCTGGATTTTGGGGGTCATAGGCACCAGGTGTCTAACAGTGTCTGTTCCCACAGCTGACATAATGTACTCTGGCACTATTGACTGCTGGCGGAAGATCGCCCGGGACGAGGGCTCCAAGGCGTTTTTCAAAGGTGCATGGTCGAATGTGCTCCGAGGAATGGGTGGTGCTTTTGTCTTAGTTCTGTATGACGAAATTAAGAAGTACACATAAGTTATTTCTTGTTTTGAACTGGCATGTTGTAATGTTATCTATGACCATTCATGGACTTGTATGAAAACTGTCTAGTTACTAACAGTAACGGATGATATTTATACAGGTTGGCATGGGGTAGGGACAACCTCCTGCCCCATCTTTATCAAATCATTCCCACTGCTGGGACTCAAACATGGTTTCTATTTCAGTCACTCCTGTTTAAAGAGTACGAAGAAATAAAAATCTGACGCCAGCTTTACTCGTCTTGTGGTTGTTCTCGTAGCAGCTGCAGTGTGAGGGGCCGGGGCTCTCTGTGCAGTGATTGTGGAAGGGGAAGATGAAGCCCTCCCTGCATGATGCACTGACTGTGGGCTGCAGTACATGAATGCAGTGCAGCCTGCTGAGAAAGTGTTTCCTTCCTGGAGGAGGTCAGCAGTGAGTGCTGGTAGTAACTAAGGGGCATGCACTAGCTTTGTGCCACCAGACCTGCCTTGGGGCTGTCTGCCACTTGGGGCTGATGAAAGCTTTTTCAAAATGCCAAGTGCCAGAACCTTTTCCTGCGAAGCACCAACTGTCCCAGTTGGACTAAACATCTGGGAGACCAGAGGAATGTATTAAGGAGTATCCACAGCAGTCTGGAAAAGCAGAGCCAGCATCGTGTGTTCTAGCTTAGAAACTGAACTCCCTACTTGGACATGCTAAAACCCAGCCAGAGAAAATAAGTGTGGGTAATTGCTGTTCTTTCTGCAAAGCCCCCGGCTAGACCTGTCCTTGCATGGAGGTGTTGTGCTGCTGGGTTGAAGATGATGCCTGTGCACCTGCTGGGCCTGCCCGGGTGGGAGATAGCTCTGCAGGCCCACTGCCTGCTTACCATCAAGCTAAGCTTCTCCTAGTCTCAAGTTTGGTGGAAATTCCTTCGTACTGATGGGGCAATTTGGGGAAAACGCAGTGAGACTCGGGAATGTGTGTGGCTTGGCTTCTGCCCAGACTCCTTGGGTACTGCAAGCCACCAGAACACAGCTGTCAGCTCAGTGTGGAGGCTGCACTGGGCTGACTATGCTGCCTCTGCTCTTTGCTCCTCTGGCTGCTCAGACCTGCTTGAAGTGGTTGATCCCAATCATCAAAATGGATCTCAGCCACTGTCTGAGGCAGGTAAACACACTTGTGTGGCAAAAGGCAGTAGTTTTTGTTGCTGAAATAGAACTGGGGCTGCTGAGCACAAGTGCAGCACCAGCTGCTCACAGCCAGCATGGTTGGGTCAGCGTGAATGGGTGTGTGGGGTGCTGCTGGGGTGCGAGGACGGTGGCACTGGTTGGTGCAGGGCTCTGTGTGCCAGTGGAGATGCAGGTCTGCAAGAGCCTCGCCTGCTGCTTTCCAGCTGTCCTTGAGCTCCTGAGGTGGAAAGGAAACAGGCTGAGCTTTCATGTGAGCCATGGTGGGCTGCGCCTTCAGAAGTGGCCACCAGGCAGCCAAGCTGGGGAGCCCCTTGCTAATTAACAAAGAGCTCGCTGAGGTTATTGCTGTGTTGCTGAGCCCCCTGGATCTTTTGGAACATTTCCTTTCCTGGTGGCAGCAGGTGGGCTGGAAGCCAGGCCCTGCTTCTGCTGCCCACGGGAGCATGTCACAGGAGGGCCAAGATCCTTGTTCTTGCAGGATCCTCTTTATGAGCAATGTTTTCCTGTGAGAAATATTGTTCTGCTTCCCCTTTGCTGGTGGCTCGTGGTGGCTGAGCTCCTGCAAGGCTGCTTTCCTCTCAGCCCCTGCAGGCAGCTGTAAATCCTGACTGATGAGCTGTTGACACAGGCAGGCTGCCCGCAGGGTGGTGGTAAATATTTGCTAGCAGCTGGGGCAGGTGCTGCATGGCGCAGAGGGCTGGCAGCAGCTCAGCGTGTGGCTTGTCCTGGGCAGGGAGAAGGGTCACAGGAGCAGGGGAAGAGGTGGCTTTAGGTCACACAGAGAAAATCAATACCACGGCATCCACCCAAAGGTAGTGTCCTGTGGGCAGAGATGATGAGCAAATCAGGTTTGGTATGCACAGCAGCGGCCAGGCCCTGGTGACATAGTGGCAGGGCTGGCCTCGGTGTTGGGATGGCTGCCACAAGTGGGCTGGAGGTTGCCAGTGCAGCCCAACGGGTCTCAGATAACAATGTCAGAAGCTGAATGTAGCTGGGCTTAGGCTGATCTGCCAGCACTGTTACACAGCCACTCACCATGTCACCCCAAAAAGGTAGAGTGCATTTATAAATATCCATTGCAACAGTC